GAAATTTCTTCAGTTTTGCGGTGGATTTGTAGAGTCTGGATTCATAGGGTGAAGATTATACGACGGCAATTTGGAAGATTGTGGTCTACGCGGTGAAAAGGCAGTAAAGTTGAGAAATGATTGATGTACGTTTACATCATATGATGCAATAGAGTTCGGAGTAAAACGCAAATTGAGGTATAGCATGATCGAAAATCTCGAAGAACGAATAAGACTGCTTCCCAAAATTTTTCTGAGCCAACTGAAATATGCAGAATTGGTAGAGTTGGTCTGACTTCCTTGAGTTACTTCACCGTCCGAGCATCGTCCGGAAATGTTCAGCATAAAGTTCCCTTTGTGTTCTACGCGGTCGGTTCGCAGCCGCAAACTTCTTTTTTCCTGCACGCCGCGGTGCCCGCGTTTTACGACGCGTCGCGCGCGTGTTTTCGAAACATCGTCCTCGTAAAGCCAGCCTTTTCTCCGGCTTTACCCGGCGACCAAGTGGAAAACACCGTTCCCGATGATATCGTCTCATGCTTGTTCTCGACCTCCGCCCGTATACATTAACGCGTCCGTCGCTTAGCCTTGTTAGCCGAGTTAGTTTTTTAAATTAGTTTTATTCAACAATGCCGTCACCGCCGCCGCCGCGCCGTGGAGGAAGAAAAGTGACGCAGCACTAAATTATGCGTCAACTCACACAGCACACGGGGTGACTCGATATTCAGGGGAGCAATTAAAATTTCTTCATTAATTTCTTTCCCAACTACGAGGAAACTTCCCGAAGTAAATACGGGGCGAGTTGATTACTTGGCAGATTAATTAATGAATCTCTCGACAATCGTCCCCGATAAATTCACTTGTAGCTACCTTGTATTATCTAATTCCGAGGATTCCGAGATTCCAATGAAGACACGAGGGTAGAGCTTTATTCGTCGACGATCGAGCTCGTGACGCGATTAATTCCCAGAAAGGCGATAGAATGATCCGTGTCCCCGAAGAAGTTCGGTAACACGATGATCCGATAGGTTCGACGCGAACATCGGGTCACTTGGGGGACCGAGAAATTAATCAGCGCCGCGAGAGTCGACCGCTCGTGTCTAAAGCGGTTGAAAGGTCGTAGTGTGAAGCACGTCCCACTGGCGCAACGGTGTCTCTCTGTGTCTCCGTGTCCGCGGGAATTTCTCGGCGACCTGAAAGTTTGATAGGCCGCGTCGGGGACGATGCATGAAAAATGGAATGGGAGCGGGAGACGCGAAAAGCGCAACGCAGTCCGCAAGGGGACTGCGCTTTCCTTCTTTCTCTCGCTTCCCGTATACCCGGTGGCGCTACTTCCTCGCATTTCAGCCGGGCCTAACAAGCCAGCTGTGCGTGACCCGTCTGCGTGCGTAACTCCACTGACGAGACAAAGAGGAACGACGGCGAACAGGGAAACAGAGAAAGAAAGCTGGCCGTCGGATCGATAGGGACAGCTTGCTGTGTGACGTTGCCGAAGAAACCACACGTATTGCACATATTAGCCGCTATCTAGACACGGGGAGAGGCCTGTAAGAACACCGGGGATCGCTCCTCGACGAGCGATCATTCAATTTTATCGCCCCCTATAACCCTCCTCGACAGAGCCTCTTCTCCGCTCGCTGTAAGGAAGCGATGTACTCTTTGTTACCCGTTCTAACGTGCTCGACAAAGTACTTGGGTGTACTCTCGTCGGAATAATTTTCAGTAAATTTCATCCCTTTCAACGCGACAAGTTTCAGAAATAAAACACACTTACTTTCTAATTATTCGATTAAAGAATCTTCAGTCCATCATCCTTTTGGAAAAATAGTGTTCCTACACGATGACACACGAGGAATCCCCGAGGAAATTTACAAAAATAAAATTCCTCTATTTTCTCAGTGCCTATTGAATCTTGCATTGCCATCACTAATTAATCCACATCTCTGTTCCATGTAAACGACACCCAGTATATTCCTCTATTATTCCGCGGTGTCCACGATTATGTAATGATCCCTCGACACACATCGAGCAGCATTTACTCAGTCTTCCGAACGTTTTTCAATGCTTCCCTCGATATTCTACCCCCAGGCAAATTTCGAATTTTATTTCTATCCTGTCGACCGGGGACAGTTACTCAGCGTTCTCTTTGACGAAGAAGAATAGCGTCGGCCAACAATTCGGTCCCGGCGAACTCATCGCCGCTGACGTTCCACGTCGATGACGTTCGACGATCGAGGATCCAGGTGGCCGGTGGCACTCTTGGCACGTTTATCCGGCCGATTACGCGCCAGCATGCCAGGGTGTTTTCCATCGGACAGCCGGTTGCGCAAACGGGCCCGCGTCCGAATCGGGAATCCGAAGGCTGTCCGCCATGCTTCCCGTCCGCGGGACACACTTTCCTTTTCCCGAGCCCTTTTGGACACGGTCCAGGGTACCTTGACTCGTAAACACTCGCTCGCTAATTAGTTGCGCGAGCTGAGCCGCTGCGAAAGCTGTCTCAACGTCGACGCCGACACCGCGGCAGTTAATCGTGTTCCCGTGGCTACGGGCTTCCGTGACCTTGATGCCGGCCGCAAACACCGCGAGGAAGCTTTTTATAGTCACTTTTTTACTCGCATTCGCTTTCCGTCGCTCGAAGCACTAGCGGAAAATTCGAAATTGATCGCTGGTCGGAAGCCGATCGGTTTGAGAGATTCTTGTTTTACAGTTCGTTCCTTTGTTAGTTCACAGGAGGTTTCTGCACGGAAACTCTCAGTTGACGGAGGAATTCGGGTCATAATTGTAGGATTTAGTAGTATATTATTAATTGATCTATCAGCAACTTCGAGTCGTTTGTATTACGGGCCAACAGCTACTCCGAGAATATTTACAGTGGAGCGAGATCGTGTTTTATCGTTAAAAGGAAAGACGCGTGTACATTTTGATGTTATGTTTGATTAATATGATTACAATATAACAAATATAACAATACGAGGAACCATTTATAGAAACGAAATTGTTTCTAGACGCCGCCGCGCCGTGTCGCTCTGGCGGTGACAACAGTGTTACAGGCTTACGTTACAGCCGCGGTTTCCAACCTGGGAGGCGTTAACTATTGCCAGGGGAGGCGCCGAAATTTTTAATAAAAAATTAATGTTCACACCATAATATCTACAAATAAATAAACTTCATATCGTTATTTTGTGATAAAGTTATTATTATTTAAAACGTGCCTATATTATTATATCTATCAAAAGATAAGAAGGCGCAGGAAAAAATTTTTTTATGGAGGTATAGTAGCATAAAGGTTGGAAACCGCTGCATTACAGCGTCGCCATAGTAGCTACAGCGGAGTACAAAGGGTGAAGTTCGAAGGTAGTAATATGATTAGATTTTTAATTGGAAGTTGTAATGGTAGTATTCGTACGCGAACGTTCTTTAACCCCTTCCTTTATGATTTATTTCTTAGCTATGATCGATACAACTACTTTACCGTTAATAATTTATTGGGAAGAGACAAATTTGTATGCTTATGTCTAGGTTTACTTGAAAGGTTACCGATTCATAACAGAAAAGGAATATTTAATGTATATTTCTAAACAAATAAATAACACTTAGATTTTCCAAATTCAGTTTAAGAATTTCGTTACTAGTCTGACACGATTTATAGGTCAACGAGGTAACTGGTTAAAGTGTTGAGGGTAATTAAAATGAGACTGGAACCTGAGTGGATTCTATTTAATTTATTTGAACTAGGTTTTTGGGAAAATGTAGAATAATGAGTTACTAAATTGTGATATGCGAGATGAATGATAGTTACGGACTGCGTTAGGAAGTATCGATATCATGAGGAATAAGAAGCTACCCTGATCGCTTCTCCAAAAGGGCAGAGGCGATGATGTCTTACAGTGACTTCCGAGCTGATTTTTATAACAAAGAATTTTATGATTGGTTGAGTTAGAAACGATTTTTCTTATCGGCGGATGATTTGTCACGCCGTGTTCCTTACAGACAGCGGTCCTCAGGTACTATGGAAATTATATAATCTTATCGTGTGTCTACGATGACTTTTTGGACTCTGTATGAACAGAAGCTGAAACATCTTTTTTTCTTCGGTTGATATAAGTCTTCCGTAAAGGTCGACGAGAAGAAAATTTCTTGCCAGTATCTCGTAAAACGTGGACGCAGTAAGGTGTTGATCATCCCTCGTGAACTGTGTCAACGTTAACAAATAACATGTTTATGTACCTTCCAAGTGGGATACTCTAGAAACTGCCTTAGCTTTTCCGAGGTAAACCAATCCAATGCTGAAGCATAAATACTGTTACAAGTTCCAGTAAGCATCGCGGATTCTCTTTTCCTCCTTTCAAGTGCGATCGTCCAAGTTCGTCGCAAAGTACTGTTTCATTTTCATAGGATCCGTGTCTCCCGCAGTTTTTCCTCTCGCTTGCTTCCTCGCGAAGCCAGTGCCAATATTTATTACGCGAGCCGCGAAAACACAGACGATCGATCGGCGAATCCGAAGATCGCGATCGCGTTTGCCCCACTTAGCAGTTTCACGCGGATTCCTGCAACAATCTTTCGCTTTACGGTTGTATTACCGTGAACGGAGGAGGTCAGGGTAAATATTTGGATAGAATCCAGATGCGTTTTATAGGGAATTCGGCACGGTTACATATCGCGTTCGGTTCTTTTCCGCCGACACGCGCGTGTCTACCCTTTCGCTTTAACGACTCCGGTGTGTAATAGACGTTCCGCCAAACGTCGATCCCGAGTATTTATCGTCCGATATTTCTGCCTGCGGTCGTTTGACGCGCAACCAATAAGAGCGTATTCTTTCCACCGTGCATCTGCCGGCTTGTATAATTTCTGCCCGCGAACGACGGCGATTCTTTTTTTACGCTGGGCTTCCCGGAAAAACGATAATCGTTAAGGCGAACTTTCGATAAATAGGAAAACTCGGTCCCTCCTTTCGCACGGTGTCCGCGAAACCCGAGAAACTCGAGAGACGAAGCTGATCGGGGCTACCGAACTCTTTGTTCCAGGCACCAAGTTCTTGTGCAGCGAGGTGATAGCGCTGATCAGGAGCGAGGTGGACGACATCTGCTTGCAAATCATAAACTTCGAGGATCTGAGCTCGCAGCCGCCCACGCAGCCTACGATTCCGCCCCCAAGTCAGACCAACAACAGGCTCGTCACACGCTGTAAGCAGTAATCTTTAATCTCTTCTGTTTCGTTCCGTGTTTTTTCTTTTCTGTTCCGTCGGTTGACAGTACAGCCGTCACCTTCGGTGGTCGTGAATGTGGTTCGATAACGTGGCAAACGTTCTAACACGAAGAGCAAATTTACAAAGACAGCCGTGCCCCGGCTATCGGAAGGAAAAGATGCTGTCACTCCCTCGCCTCTGTTTGCCCTATTTATTCCCGCAGACATTCTCTGCATTCTTTCTCGCGCACGCTTCGCTTTCGTTGTGCAACTCGTCGAGGACACTAGGTCACGTAGTTAAGTGTTAACGCTGGGTGTGTCTGTAGGAGCGTGCTTGAAAACACACTGCGACCTTCCTCGCCAGCGGTACTGATGTACGAAAGGTGCTTGTGAAAATTACCACCGAACCGCTTTTTGTCCGGCAGAAAGGAACTCGCTGAATCCTTCTCTCCCCGGCTGGCTAATGAAATGTCCACGAATAAATCCGTGGACGTAAGACGGAACGAAAGCTCTGAGCCTCGTGCCTTTCGTTTCAAGGCACTGCTGCGGATGAACACGGAACGCTCTAGCTCGCGTGTGTTTCTCTCCGGGATGTTCTTAATTAAAAAATTTCAATTCTAATGTAATTCGACTCGAATCAGTATTCTAAACTGACCTATCCTCTCGAACTTAGAAATTCGAATTTCCAGACGTCAATGTATATAGAATTGAAGTTCGAACTGTAAATTTTCAGAAATACTCAAATTAGCGATGTAATATTTCGGTACAATGGACGACAAGTTTTTGTTTCCTTAATTACGATTCATGAATGCCAGAAGAAATTTGAATGCTAATAAAAGAAAACGGAGGAACTCCTTTCTCCGCTGTCTCGAAGTTATGATTTGCAGCTGTCGCGAAAAAGAGAATTGAAGTCGCTTCGTTTTGTGTTTCCGGACTCGTTCCTCCCCCGTTTCAAACAAGTTGCTCTTATTTACGAGATCAAACAAGGGATGGGAACGTTGTAGGGAAACACGAGGCACTTTCGGCCCGGCAATTTTTCCCGGGTAAGTGTACTTCGAGTAGAATCTCGCGAGCACCCTCGACATAATAAAACGAGTCGAAACTAATTAAAATAATTAACCACGTAACGACGGGGTTTAAACGTCCCTCGGGCTCGCCGGCACGCCAGTATCCAGGAACTAATGAATATTCCTCGGGAACTTGGCTCGGCACTAACAATCGGTAGTCCGGTCAGACAAATCTTTCAATCACCGATCCGGCGGATATCGAAATAAATCTCCAACGCCCTTACAACGCGTCGCCGCTTGCAACGCTTCGTTTTCTGACCACTCTCAACAGCCTCGCACGCAGCAACAGCATCGAGCGCACGAAAACGCGTGATCTTTACTTGTTCGCCACTTTAATTCCCCACTTTATTTTCTTCTGTCCTTCAAGACTTCATCTTTTCTTGAATGAAAATAATAAATACTTCGATCCGAGGGCCGCAGTATCGGATCGCGTCGCAAATAACTTCCACGAGCGATAAGAATACACCTTCCCGGAAAATGTCGTTTGATATTCAACGGGTTATCAATTGGATCAAAGCGGTATGCTATTAATAACGATCAATAAATCACAAGCTACGGCAAACGTAATCGTTATTCTTAGAACGAGAATTACTTCCCGCAGTTCTTAACTGCAACCAACATTCACCGCTTTCTTCCCGATTAACCCTTTGCGGCCGAAGATCCTTCGAAACATACCAAACCTTCAACAGATGAATCTAAACTATATACCGATTGCTTAAATAATTGAATAAAGTACGATCTCTTACTGTCTAAAAAATTAAATCATTCGTTCACAACTAAACAGTCGAAACGTGAAAATTTCATCTCGCGAAATACCGATGTTCGTCCTCGAAGGGTTACAGGATAAACGAGCAACTTCTCCTAATTTTACTCCACCCAACCAATTAACTAAAATCTAACCCAGATCTAATGAGAAATCAATCGTGATCCGGGTTAGTTGGCGAAGCGCCGAAAATTAGGAAAAGTCGCAGTATGTTTACCCCATCAAATTACCCGCTAATCATAATCAAGTTCTCGCGGCGTCGGCTATAAATAGCCTCGAAGGGGGAGAAAAAAAAGGCGGGAAGAAGGGCGAGAGTTATTTTTACCTCGAGCCATCGAAATGAACCGGTGTTTCGCGTTCGCGTCCGGCTAAAACCGGCCACAAACCCCTTATTCACCCATAGAGGCACTCGAGAGACCGAGAAGACGGGGGACGACGCAACACTTGACGCTCGACACGATACCCTGGGCCAAGACGTTTCGTGCCGCGCTCGCATATAGTTTCCTGCGGCTTTTAAGCCGCTCTGAGGATCATTATTTTCTGCTGCACCGATCGCGTATATAAGACAGCGTCGTCGCCGGCATTCAGGGCCGGCCCCCGCCGGCAACAACTGGGCCATGTAACACACGGTAGCCTCTCTCTCTCTCTCTCTTTCTCTCTTTCTCTTTCTCTTTCTCTTTCTCTCTTTCTCTCTCTCTTTCTCTTATTCTCTCCCTCCCCCCTCTCCAGCATTGTGACGAAAGATTATTACAATCGGAGATCGGGGTCAGATTTGTCCGCATAATGAGCCGTGCAACGATATCCTGCGCCATTCTCGAATTACTCTTTTGCACGTCCTTCCGCGTGTCACGTCGGCCGTGCGCGACAACGGGCTTCGATCGTGTCCTCCCTTTCTCCGACCGTGTCACCACTGCCAGGGAAATTGCACGACCAGCTTGTATCGTTCTTTTCGTACAGGGTGTCCCGGTAATCGTGATCCAAGCGGATCCGAGTAATTCGTCGCGGGAGACGTTGAATAAAACTGGGCTTTCTTTGCGAGGATTCAGCGTATTCAATGAGTTTAACCCTTCGCACTGGTGTATTGGTTCAATTCTGGTATTATTTTCATGGAAATTTCCTGGTATCTTCGGTAATATTCATTCTTTATCGAGTCGTTGAGAGTCAATGTGGAAATAGTGCGAAGGGTTGGAAAGTCAAGTTCGAAGTTGTGACGAGCAAGAGGTACCCGTGGATGGATCGTTTTATTTGGACGTGTTACTTTGTACCTTTGGAACGTCGTATTGATCCGCGTCACAGAAGAATACAGGTGAAATTCGAAAAATGACATTTATATAGCGGAAAGATTAAATCAATCGGGCGCATATGTATGCGCGCTCGGTGTAATCGTTTTAATAGATGAATGGACGTGTCCCGGCAATCCACTTGATAGGCATGTTTACATGTCCGCGTCACCGAAAGGATTAAATATTCGTTGGATACGCGACAATCGAAAATAGGACTCGGCCGACGTGTCTGTTCATTGCTTACCGATTCTACTTATTGTAATCACTACACTGCGGACATTTATGGGTTTCTAGCGTGTCCCGTTGCGCGGGGCACGACGAAGGTGTCGCAATAAAGTTCCTTGCAGTGTTTACATTGTTACGAATATGTTGAAGCTTTCCATATGAAACAGGAATAAATTTTATTTCTACGTTAATAACTGAGGACTTATTTTTAGAAGCCGAAAGTCATGAAAGCACGACTTGTATCGTAGAATTTATTCTTGCATAGAGGATCAGCCTGCTTACGGTCACGATCCCCGGAACACCCTGTACATATTTTCCCCCCTTTGCCCAAAGGGGAGGCAGAATCTTATGAAAAAAGTTTGTAGGATTCGTATCGAGAGGTTCCTTTGAACTTCGTAATTGACCCGATGTCTTTCCTCCCCTACCCCCGCTGATTTTCTTTGTCTTTCTACGTAGTCTCTAAATGTTCGGACAGCTCGACCCTGCTACAATCTTCGATTTATCTGTACTAAAATATTACAACAATACCATAACAATTCACTGAACACTACAATTATTATAACTAAACATTACAATAACATCATAATCCATCGTTCAAAATATTCATCTCTTATTCAAGGCACATACCAAAAAATACATCCATGTAAATGAACAAGTGGCAAAACAGGAAAGAACGAAACGAACATGACATTAAAACAATGAGAACATTATTGATTCGAAGTGGACTCAAAGGAAGCAGGATTAAGTTCCCGAACGACAAAGGGGTGGAAAATCCAAGTATTCTCTCTCGAAGAAGTTTCGAGTCAGGAGAACTCGACGCTCCAAAAAAATGTCCCTCCAAATTACTCGAGCATTCACGATCGAATCGTTGAAACGTCGATCATCTCGCCAGTGATCTCCAGACCGTTCACGTCCGGCGGCGTGAAGCCGCGCGACGCGTGCACACGCGTTACGGAGGAAGAGACACGGGCTCGCGTTTTATATCTGGAGTGTTCGCGAAACTATTTTTAGAATGACGCCGCAGAACAGTCGCTGGACGTGTGTGGCGCGTCTAACAGTTAACCCTGACCCGGTAATAAATGTTATACCTCCGTATAGGAAGCTATAGACACCCCCCACCTGCCGGTTGATAATCCACCCTCCCAGCCCCTGCGGGCGAATCAGCTGATGGCTACAACGTCGGGAACGAAATTGATTATTAAAATGGACACGGAGCTGTCGCTGAACGATCGGGCAACACGCGCGGCCTTATCCTCCGGCTCGATTCTTCCGACGAACTTCTATGATTTCTTTTACCTCTTCCGCCGGAAGTTATTCCGAAAATTTCAATTTAACCCCTCGCCTTATGATTTCTTTCGCGACCACGCTCGATGGAGCTACAATAGAACCTCGATTAACCCTCTGCACTCTAGAGGCGCCTCTCAGTCGCCAATTGACGTGACACAGGAAAATTGTAAAGTTTGATATTTAATATTGTGGTATTAATGGAAATAATTATGTTTTATTTTTAAAAGACATAAGAATAGTTAATCGAATAAGATACAAATAAATAGAAACCATATAGCTCGCAGTGTACAGAGCTTTTCTATTCCAAAGCCAACGCAACCCTCTCCCAAAAACTCTCGTCATCCGCACTTAAAAATCATTCTCCCCCACACAAACGTTCTTCTCACTCGCACTTCGAACAAACTCACAACCACACCCTACTCTCACCACCACGCAATCATCATCCTCGCTTGCGCATCGCTCAGGAAAACTCGCCAACTCTTGGGCCTGGTCTCCATCAGTCCCTTTCTCTTTTATGGCCCTCTTCCTGTCTTTCAGAGTACTCGCTGTCCCACTGCCATAAAACTGCGATACTACAATATTAAACTTTGTATGATGCATCAATATGTAAGATATTGGAAGAAAACAGTTTCCTCAATTTATGTGCAATTGAAAAGTTAATTTCAGAAAATGTCATTCGCATCTCATTAGAAAATATGGAGTATTTCCAGTGAAAAATTTCCGGAGTGCGAAGGGTTAACCGTGTTGTTATTCTCTGTGATCTAAATTCGCCTAAATTATTGGTCTAATTAGACCCCGATCATTCGAATTCTTAGATTGAGTCTTGGATTGTATACGATCGGGTTTTACGAATATATTTCTTAAATGTCTTGTCAAGTTTCCTTTCTTTTAATCAGTTGTTTAACATTAAAACTACCAGGCGGGTCAAAATGACTCATTCCTGGTTTCATTTTGAAATTATGAAACAGGTAACAGATGTTTCTATGAGCAATTGTTGAAAGGATTGGTTTAGCAATATGCAAACTAAATTATAAATCAATTCAAGTCTCGATAGGTACAGCCTTGAAGTTTCTATAAAAGGATTTCAAAAAGACAATTTAATTGCTCGGTAGTTTTAACGTTAATTAGATTCGATAATCGAGATTCTGCAGTATTTTATTGCTTCTAACTCACTAGAAGCGGAAAGCATTTCACAATTATTTCGTATCTACATTTACCCTAAAGCACTATAATTCATAATAAGAAAGTAATATGCAATTTGAATTTACAAGAACTGGATGACATTTATATTCATTAAATTCCGTTCGAAACCTTCTCTACGAATCTCACACATCGCAGGACAAGGGGTTAATCATCGGAATGTCAGATTCCTTTCAGTGAATCGACGCGATTCATTTTTCATTCGGTTCATCGCTTCATCGAATTTCCATTTGTACATTAGAGGGACCGCATTTCAGCTGCTTTTCTCTTTTCAGTTTCTTTTTTATCTTGCCCCTTCGATTCCTCGGCATCCGAAGAAACGATCCTCGGTTCTCCTTTTCTCTGTCGTTGCACTCAGCGAGAGGACAGACCGCGGAAACGATCCAATCAATTCTCAGGTTCCTTTTCCGATGGACACCGTGCGCGGAGGAAGCGACGCTTCCTTCGTTGTTGCCTAATAACGATCGATGCCGGCGCGTTAAGGAAAATTGCTGCCATCGCTTCCAATCCGTGCTGCTTTTGACCACGCTTTTCTTCATCTTTCGTCGACAAGAGAACTCTTCTCACAAAGTCGACCGCTTGATCGATTCTTTTCTTACCAGTTATTTTCATTTCTTCAGAGATTTATATTTCCACAAGTGACGCGAGAAATACCTTCTGTAAAATATACAGAACACATTCTATATCTATATATCTATATTCTACATATATATATATATAGAAGAAATACGTTTCTAAAATTTATTAACCGAAATAAATTTTTCATTCAGAAGCGTCCTATCTCGGCCGACTGTTCCTCTCGCTGGCACCTCCTGCTCCCAGAACCCAAAACAGACACACAGTATTTTTGCGCTAGAAGTTCAACGACTCTAGTCTGGCGCAAAATCAAACAACTTCGCGACGATCATAGAGGATCCCGGCGATCGTGTGCCAAAGATCCAGCGGCGCGTGCGGCGATCGGGAATTCCACAGGTCCCGGTGCATCCGTAGAAGAAACAATCCGAATCGATGATTATTCGAGAACTCCTCTGATTTATTGAAACGGCCGACAGTCGGAGCAACAGTTCCCCGCGTGAAATCGGTCCCCCCCGGTTCCCCGTTGGCCTCGGGTGTCTCTCGGCGGCGCGATTCGTGATCCCATTTCCCCCCGCGCGCCGGCGAAAGTTTGTTTAATCCGCGCGGTAACTAACTTCGTTCGCGCGTAACTCGCTCGAGAGTCCCCTGCTCACCGAGAAAAATATATTGCGCGAAGTAACGCGTGCCTACATGCATAGACCGCGCGCGGCGGAAAGTTCCCCGCCGAATACTGCATCGAACTAATAACTAGTGGAACAACGCTGTTAGAGAAAATTAGAAAAGTCTGATGAAGATCGGGAGAACGCGAGCGCGCGTTTAATTAACGTTCAAGCGAAAAGTTTCGCTCGGAAGTTCGCTTCTTTCTTTTTTTCTTTTCTGTCCGCCGCGCGGAAAGTTCTCGCGATATTCGCAATATATTTTCCGTGGTGTACAGCAGTCGTTTACTAACAATCACTAATAAGATTCAATGACGTTGACTCGAGCAGTCGACAGGGCAAGGGCGTCCTTTCGCGCTGGCCTGTCCAGGACCGGTGTCGTTGGTCCGCCGAGGGTCAGGAATCGACCGAGAACCACGACCAACCTACCTCATCGACTTGCTGACGGGACCATCCTCGACGAGGACGCTTCTGAGAACTGGTGAGTCCTCGAACCTTTTTCCTTAGCCCCTTGCCGTACGATTATATCCGCGAGTATGGTCGTTGCGTCGGTTTTATCGTCGACAATCTGCGAGAACACCAAGCAATTTCTTGTTTATTGTAACCGCACTTTTACTTTGTAAATAGAACATGGACGATAGTAACGTTGTATTGTACCTCGAGTTATTTTCGATGGAACAGCGTCGATTCCCGTGAAATCGAGCTGGAAATGTTCGCGACAAACGTCGTCAGTCGTCATTGTACGACAAGGGACTCTGGTCTCATCGACGACCAACACGTCCTTGTTTCCATCGGTGTTATTAAAAACTACGACATTGCGCAAAAGTGTGTAATTGATCGAGCGATTAGATCGGCGAGTGCTGAAACTTTTTAAGGACTCGTGAAATTCAAGCTTCGTCGTACTCGTTTCCGACTGCGTCGGTATTGCTGGAATTAACCCTCGCACTGCGAATGCAAAACGTAGATGTAGCCTTATTCTTAATTCAAGGACGGCTCAGGATTAACTCGAAAGTTTACGCGGTTACGAGCATTTCCAGGTAAATTTGATATGCGCGGGGAAAAGTCTACGCAAATTTCCCTGCGCCATTCGTTCCCGAAGTCTGTCTACGGTACACGTTCTGCCGGAAGTAGAAATGACCATTCACTGGTTTGTGCAAGACTATCCGGGGGTTAATCATTATAATTTCTTCGGCCGTGACGCGCGGAAAAGTAGAATCAGCAAGTTTGAATATCAAAGTTCATAATATTCGCCAAGGGTTCGTACTGCCACGAGTGTGTTCTAGCTATTTGAAAAATTGAAAACTTCGCATTACAAATTATATTAATCGACCATTATTACCGATTTGCAATTGGCACTGAGCTGATCGTAACGAGCAATTAATAATTACAAGTACCACTTCCTGAAGGAATCAAAAGATTCATGTTAATCATTCCCTTTTACACATCTATAAACGATAGACGTCAAGCTTCTTATTATTATTAATTAATATTATAATTACGAGCATTACTTCCCAAACGAATCAAAAGTTTCGTTTCCGCCATTTCTCCTTATGCTACAAACAATAGACCTCAAACTTTTTACAAGAAGTATTCATAAGAATCGAAGAATGCCACTTTATTTCCAACCCGTTCGAATTCTTAAGAGAAGGAATCAGTGTCTACTCGATCCTTGTCGCTTTAAGTGAAGCTTCTATTAATCGGCTTACACGTTGCCCCACTTTGATCGAGAATTCGACGGTTTTTCGCGTGAGAGTCCATCCGGCGGTTCTTGTCCGAGTTTCCCCGACTCGAGCTGCGTTTCCGTGCTCCGCGAGCTACGACTTTGTCGTACTGCGGGTGTTGTACAGTAGCCAATTAAGAAACTGACGAAGCTGACCTAACTAAGTACACTCGGCACCGTTAATGATACACCGCATTGTTTCGCGGGCCGCGCGAGTCACCAGTATCATCGTCGCGAAGACAGCGTTGGCATTCACCGGACCCCCGCGGACTCAGAATGGCCATTTCGATACCTCGTTAACCCCCTTCCGCGACCGTCGCGGTATTAATCGATTCCCTGGCCGAGCTGACCAAGATCGTGCCCCATTGTCTTCTCGCTGAATTGAATTTCAACCGTGACGTCGGGAATCCGTGTAATTTTATTTGGACGGGTTCCATCTCGTATACAAGGTGGCCCACTTAACGCTAAACATGCCGGAAATACATAACGTGTTTTGTCTGTACCAGTGGCGACTTGGTATGTGCGTTACCAACACATGTTTCGATGACGATCTTCTCGATAATAGCATACTATTAGCGGTATCTTCGGAATGAAATATCGAAAATAAGAAACTGGAGAGACTCGTTGAGTTTCTAAATATAATATCATATAGTAAATTTAAATGGCAATGTATAGTTTCGCTTGTTTATATAAAGTGAACGAATGGGAATATTACAGATACGTAAGTCGCTAAGGAGCCAGTTGGTTAAGTTCAGAAAACAAGGATTGAGAAAATGTAATGGCTTCTGAAATTATTGTACAACATATTCAGATAAAAGAAGAGGCTTCTAGGAAAACCAAAGAACCGAGTAAATCCTTTAATAGCTAAAAAGAATATTATTCGATTAAAATCTACAAAAATCAGAAAATATCAAAGAATCGACTTAACTACATTAGCTTCTGAGCGACTCGTGTTAGTAGGGAATCTCGCAAGGGAGAACACTCAAGCGTTAAAATTCTAAAGAATTTCTATTTCATAGGATCCTGTAAAGAAGCGCAGGTGGTGCAATGTAAATACTAAAAATTGGAATTCATCGCGACGCGCGGCCGCGTATGGAAAGAGGTCATAGGAGTTGGTAGCAGCCGCTTGTTGAAAATATGATATACACGCGAATCGAATCGTATAGGTTCCTGTGTTTGCCAAAAATAGGGAAAAAAACACGAAGGTCCGGGGGCAGCGGAACGATCGAAAGCAGACACGAGGCCAAATATTGGCAGTCGCGCGGGTAAACAGTAGGCTCCGTTCGGTACCGTCGAATTGATTAAGGGTTCCGTAAACAGGCCTCGTCGATAAGCAACCGTGCGATATCTCTCGCATGAATGAGTCACGCGTCGTCCGTGATCGAATTCCTTTTTGCGCGTTGATCTCTATCGGTCGGTGGAACGATTCGTACCGGCGCGGCGGTCGTGTCGAGGGGCGATTATTCGTGTCCCCGAAAATCTCGTGGGAATGGTGACCCGAATTTTCATGGACCATAAATCACGGGGCATCGCGGACAAAGGAGCCATGGCAACGCGAAGACGGTAAATAAAAGAGAAAGGAAAGGGAAATATGAAAGACGCGGAGAAATAAAACCGATAAAAGGCGTCCCGATGAAATATGTTTAAAAATATCTATCCGGTTTTCCTTCTTTTCTGTTTTCCACGTTCCGCGGCCAAGGCTATTCACTCGCGAGTTAAACGAACGAGTAAACAACACTCTGGGAAAAATGAATATATAAAAGACCGTCAAGACGGAGCGACGTTATTGGTTTCTAAAAACGCGGGGAAGCCTCGTTAGAAGGCTGAAAGATTAACAGCAGTTTCGAACCCAATCGATACCATTAAGTCGAACGGTGTCGCCGGATGAAAGGTAATCGCGGAGAAGACGCTTCAGGAATCCTTTACCCGTATTTGCCATTTTTCCCCCCCTCGTCTTCTTCTCCCGCGCCGTTCCTCGCAGCTTATTTTCTTGCTTTCGCAGTCGACGATCGATTGGATATCCCTAGCTAGAAGCGATTCCGGCCTTGGCAATTGTATCGCAACAATTGCTATCGTCGGGCCCGCTATCTCGCGGACGATCTCTCGAACACCGCCGTTATCTTTCCGATCGCTTTTATCGCCGGACGCTTCTTAAACTTTCCGCGCCCCTTTCGCAGTCCCGTTGATCATTTCGAGTTTCGGCACGAACGGGAGTAGTTTCTAATTTCAACCGGGGATCTGGCTAATAAATCTGTCCGCTTAACTATTAACAGATCTCGTCGAAGTATTTCGTGTTACCCGCTGCGTTCCCGTTTCGTGAAACGTACCCGGCGATTCGAAAATGGAGAAAAAGCTTCTACAACGAAGAGTGCACTGTAATTTATTTACTGAAGAACTTCGTTTTTAAAGAAATTCATTTTACTTTCTTTCTCGTGTTCAGTCGAAATGCTGAGCAATGAACTGACATGTTCATCGAGTTATCGTTGCATTCTACGAATAGTCGATGAGCATTCGATTCTTTTTTGAAGGAAGCTCGACAGTTATTTTCAACGTATATTTTTCCATTTGCATTCGCAATGTAAAACAATCTCTTTAACGTTCGCGCCGCTACCTGGGAACTGAAGTTTCTCGGACCTAACGATACTGTGACCCCGCTGTACAAGCAATCCGCGTGAGTGTCCCTAAATTGTCGAGGTCCCGCACGGATTACCGGTGTCTGCAACGAAAATGTCGCTGGTGGTCGTATACCGTTTAGATACTTCCATTCCGCCCTCTGTAACTGTTACTGACCCATTTCCCGCCGATACTACCGCTTCGCTAAATGTGTTTGTTACCAAGTTTCTTTGTCCCCGTAGAGTTGCGTCGAAGCTTAACCCGTCGGGGACGGCACCCAATTCCCGGTTTATTCCAATTCTTCCAGATTCCCTCTGTCACGGATTTCACTATAATCTGTCTGTAATTTAGATGTTTTCGATAGCTACGTTATAGCTTATTTATTCTTCTACACTCAGCTACAACGATTTATCTATAGAATACCATTTCTACAAATATTATATTCCTTATAGGTATATTTTTCTAGCTTATTTCACAGCTATTCATTTCTAATAGCTATCCTAGAAAATAGAGTAAACGATAATTAAGCAATAAGAAGAGAATAAAGAACAATGTCAGAAACTACACTGATTTTGTCCTTGAAGTGAGCATTCGTTACTTTTCTAACGATCGTACTCCAGATTGTTAGCCTTCTACTTCCGGTCGTGTTGCAGAAGATGCATCTGTGTCCAGTGTTCAAGGGAACGCCTCATATTTGTCCGCGCTGTAAACTGGAGTTATGTCTTGTACGATCTACTTCCGTAACTCGGGGAAAATATGTTTTCGACGGTATTTCCGATAAAAGGCACCTGACCCCCTCGTAGTTTCCGTCGGGCTTGATCTCGAAGACGAATGCGACTTATATTTCCGGGCGACTATCGCGAACGAAATGTCACGAGCTACTAGAATGTTATTATTCCCTTCCTCGGTGACACGGTTTCGGTGTGATCTCGTTGCAACAACTTCAACCAATCGTCGATCATCTCCACGATCATAGAGTCCACTGCGTCCTCTTTCGCTCTTCGATCCCGCTAACGCTAACAAACGATTTTTAATTGCTCATTCTTGCCGAGCCGCCGCGATGAATATGCAACACGCGGCCCGCGCGTATGATTTAACTGCAAACGCATATTGCATAGAACATCGATCTAATCGAGTATTCAAATGAA